AATTCAAGAAGAAAGCGATGAACACACCTATCTAATATGTATATAATTGAAAACGAATTGCTGAAATGTATGTACGTGCATAACTTCAAATGGCTCGATTATATATTATGAGCCAAACTATTTTGTTATAAAACAGCCTCGAACTCGTCGACAAATGCTGCGCAGAAATCTTTATTACCTTGTGAAATAGTTGGATTTCAGTTTAAAAGTTGGTTTTCTTTGAGTGTACCTCTATGCTATGTTTTGACAAGACTGGATGACTCTTCTTTATGATCAATAACTCTCTTTTATGAAATTTTAAAGTATAATATACTTGCTTTCTTCCATCATTTTCACCTGTGTGGTTTTGTATGACGTGCCGTGGCGTGCTTTTCTATCGTAAATAACGGCTTCGAGCGCCACGACGGTCGCAGTGCTGTCAGTCTAGAAGTTCAATCAAATAAAACCTACTTGGTAATATAATAAAGATTTCATTTAATTGAAGCTCTTGGCTGACACAGAGCTGTGTTCGATACCGTATATAAAATAATAGCATAGCTAAGCACCAACCATAATCCATGGAAACGAATGTGCGGATTTTATGAAAGTCATTTGACAGCCATATTTTCTCATGATTGCATGGAGACAAATGCAACTACAATTATTAAAATCATCAAATTGTCTGACACTATGTCTAGTGCAAAAGTAGGTATAACAAGATTTAAAATGCAAATTAATTTATCAAGTCTGTTGCTACTGGCACTTTTGAATGTCAAAATAATTTAATCTATGCAGGTCAATATACTATGCTATCGATTCGCAAATCTACGGGAGGAGACATTCTACTGAGAAGGACCGTCAAAAAACGGCAAAAACTGCTTTTTTACCCTGTTTAATTTTTAAAAATAACTCGATAAATAACTTGAACAGACTATGAAGTAGCTTTCCAAAAATATTAAAAGTAACAAAAATCATTCATCTCAGTATTAAGTCAATATTAAAAGTGAAAAATAATATTCAGTCTTAAAATCTCATTGATAAATTAATTATGAAAAAGTTAATATCTTTTCACGTCGTAGTTATTACCAAATAAACCATTACTTATGGGTATCGTGTATGTTGCTCATTATGTTTTCTTTTATTAAGTCTTCTACAAATAAATAACAATGTCCAATGACATTCAATGAAAGAATTTATTTTTATTTGGCAGGTCATAAAATATTAAAGAGGAGATGTTTTAAAAACGAAGAATTATGAAATTTATCCTTTTATTAAAACATCGCTTTTGAAAACCGTAAACTTTTGGTGACATGTTTCTAGAGACAAATTTGTTGCATTTTCTCTACCGCATCTTGGTGGGAAATAAAATTTAAAAAAAAGACTACAAATATATAAAAAATGCATTTATTTTTGACCATAAAATTCCACATCAGAATAATAATTAAACCTAATATTTTAAATAAAAATTTATTTAGTACATAAAGAAAATAAAACAATTTCAGGTGGGCATCAGATATATATTTTATTAGTAAAATTCTCAGGATGTTAGTGATATGTCATTATAATATATTTACTAAAAATATCAGTAAATTGCAATGACATACTGTATAATGGATACAGTTCAGGATGAACTCTCAATTTAATTAAAAGTTAATAACATTGCAATAAGTTATCATTATTCCCATTATATAGCTACAAGTGCATAGTTTTGGAATTTAAAAATAGGTGGTAAAGTAATTTATAGTTTTTGAATACTGTAATCGACTAGGTTTAGACTAGTATTGTTTTGTACGTTTATCTGTAGTCGAGCTTCTCGCATGAAGAGTCAAGACTCTAGATCATATCTCAGCGGTTACAATACTATAGTATATCCTTCGGCATAATTTGGTTTTGGAAGAACAATTTGATGAAATATTTTTTTAACTTAAGGGCCTCTAAAAGTTATCAAATATAAACGTTAAGATCCGTGAACACTTCATATGATTGAAATCATATGTCATATTTGACAATAAAAACATAATAATTAGTTGCCCGGTTTAGAAGGATTTGTAAGCTCAACCATAGCCCAACAGAAAATGTGCATGACAAATGTGAAAATATACTTTAATTTAATTTATGTATTGGTAAAATAGTTTGATAGTATTTATTGTGTTTGCTTGGATTTCAATTGGTAGGAAGGCATTATTTCATTTCTTCAATTGTTTTTATGATAAACTCTAAAACTTATATGTCGCAGCAAGCCGGTTTAATTAATTGACTGTGACTGAAACATTAATCACGCCTTATATTTTATAAAGTTTATTAGATATATGAATAAAATACTGACGGGTACAGTGCTTGGCCCTTTAAGCAAACTTTTCATTTTCAACCAAAATTACTTCGTATATTGTGGGAAGATGACTTCTAAATAATTTAAAATTATTCCATAAGGACTTAAGAAAAATCAAATATAGGTACATTAAATTACCCAGTGATAAAAATATTCATATCTTAATAATCTTATCCTTACCGTCATAAAGAGTAAAACTGCAACAAGAAATATCAATAAATACAATTACAAAGTTAAGCTCAAGAAGTAATAGACTGAAGAAACTTGGAGAACCAAAGCGAAAAAGGTGAAATACCTTTCTTAAAACTTTATCTTTATTGCTTCTCCCGGTAATACTAAAGTGAAACCGTTTTCATTTGGTGAAAAAGTGGCGGGACGGGAGGCTGCGACGACGACCACGGTCACGAAACAAAGTGTAGTGTGCTGGGCGGGGGGCGGGGACGGGGGCCGCAGGGCTCCTCGCCGCGTGAGCGATTGCGCCCCTAATTGGCAGCGGCGTCCGCGAGAATCTTAAGGGGAGGACAACGGAGTTGAGCGAGCCTCCGCGTCTTGCGGCTCTATCCCCCCACCGCTCTCACCCCGTCCACGTAACACAATAACTCACCTCGGGCGGCACCGCTCACGTAATCTCGAGTAAGTCCGGATTATACCCGTTAATCACGCGGAAATTAATTACAAGTTTGTGTATTAATTGTAGTACAATTACAAGTACGTAAAGGGTTAAGTGAGTTACGAATGACTCTTATGAAATTGTACAGTCTTATCAAATTATTATAGAATCTTCTTGGAGGATATTTTTTTGGCTTTTAAGATATCTTTCTAGAAAGTTTACTTCTTTCTTGTTATTGGATGGGAGCTAAACGTACTACTTTCAAAGTAACGTCGTATATAAACTATTTTCTTCTAGAAAAGAAAAAAATCATTTCCAGAATCCGATATCTACATTTCTATTCTCATGTCGATGTCGCCTTTGTATGCAAGTGGATGGGTTAATTCAATTTGATGCCAGGACGAAGGGCAATATTTTATCGTATCATGTGATCTATTCTGTCCCAGTATAGTATAGTAGAGTGGGTCATAAAAAAGGCAATATCTCACAGTTGAGCTGCGCCGGGTGCCGCGATCGTAACTCGTACAATGTTACTGCGGTACACTCGACAAGGGAACTGACTTTTATTTTAAGATAGGGAATTATTGTTTTTCCTTCAACGGTTAACGCCGAGACGTGAAAATGGCTTGGCGTCTCGAATTGATCGCTTACGTTGTGTTCTTTTTTTATACTATGATTATGTTATATCGAATGCTAGATCGTGAATTATGAACAGAAATAGGAATACTGAAGATGACGATGCAATAGAAATTTTCGTTATTGGAAAAATGAGGGCATTTAATATTGTTTAAAGTAGCTTTATTTTGTATACAACTAGCATTTTACAAAGATTTCAATAATCGATTGTAAAGATTCGTGATTACGTGCTCAAAACTCTTTTTTACTCAATTTTTACCTTCCTCTTATTATAGTGCTGTCCACTGTCGGATATTGGCGATCATCTTATCTTATTAGGCTATTAAATAATGCGTCGATAATATTGTTACGTTGACATTTTACAGGTTAACTAAATACATCATTTTATAATTGTTTATAAGCATTTCCTATATATGTAATCGTTGCTTTACATTTTTATTAGGAAGGAAGAGGCGATGTTGTTTTACAACCACCATTACGTAAATTTACCCACATGTTTATTTGGAATATAAAATGTGACGGTGTCTTGTATGCTTGGCACATTTTTACAACTTCCCCATATTATTATCTCTTGAAGGAATATTCAACTTACTGTTAATAACGTTATGTTTCGTTTATGTGTATTTCCGCAATAACGCGATATTAAGTACTTACTTTAATTGTATTTAGGTTAATAGAACGTTATCCACATAGAATGTTATTCAACATAGTTTTTAATAACAAAACCAGATTTCACAGCAAAAGTATTTGCTCTATATCATATAAATGTGGCGTATAGATCAAATTAAAAAATAAAAACACATAAACTAACAATGCTACCTTTAAAATTATACGATTCCATTTCTTCTCATAAATGGATTGTTTTATATTGACAAATACTCTTTACCAATGCCGAAAGGGGTTTAAATATATAGCGTCTAATACAGGGCTATTTTAGAATAAGAGGTTCAATAGACAACAATAGCATTGCATTTAATCCATGGTATAATATTACTAATGCGAAAGAAACTGTGTCTTTGTGTGTATTTGTTACGTTTCCACACCTAAACTACTGATCTAATTGTAATGAAAGGTACATAGATAGACTGGACCTTGGGGAAGGATAAAGAATAGTTATTAAGGCAATGATACCGAATTATGCCCGGTTCCAAATATAATATAAAGTCAAAGATAAAGTACGTTGCACTGGCAACAAAGACGTTAAAATTTAGTTAATTGAAATGTGACGTCACACGATGCTCCTTCATGGCCGTCGGCGTTTTGGTTCTTGTGATCCACATATTCGAATAATTCCTCGCGGGGAAAGCCGTGGGCATAAAGTTAGTGTAATACAGAAAAAGCTCATTTTCTGTCAAGTAAACGAAATTTCTTTAGTTTTAAAACAATACGGTTATCACAAGCTTATTATGTGAATTTGTTCGATAGAAAATGTAAAAAAGAAGAAGTATGTACATTACTAACCCCTCGCTAGTAGCTAGAGGTACGTTGACGCGCCGACATGCTTGCATTATGGATGCCCGCTAACTTCGCGCGTGACGCGAGAAAAATGAACCACACCGTCCGCGACGAAGGATTGCGATATAATATTCTGCTAAATTCCGGCCGTACCTTGATAACCAAATCCTTGGTCTCTCCGCTTGGTATATTCAAAACTTTAATAGTAATCGTAGCTACTTACATAGGGTTTCATATGATTATTACTACTTTTATTTATATACTCTATTATAAATTATCTATACTATATTATATAGAGGAAACATTTGATTGTTTGTATGTCTCGAATAGGCTCCAAAACTACTGGACTGATTTAAAAATTATTTCACCTATGCGTGGTACCTATATCATAAGAGGTGGTTCAAATGCTACATTAATTTTATTATTTTACATAACAGGCATTGAATCCACATACATCAAATCTTTACTTTGATGTGTGATATAATATTTTGTTTTATGCGCTAAAACAAAATATCTCTTACACCCAGTTTCTGGATTGAATATTTAAAGTAAAAATTAAACAAATTTTCGTTTCTGATTTTTTGTACTTTTCTCAATCCAGAAACCAGCCGACAGTTCAAAATAAAAAAATATATTTTTTGATTAATTAATAAATATTTTGGGTGATATCATCTTCATATAATTTATGGCACATTCTATTCTATCATTTCAAAAACATCAAAAATCAAATCAAAAATGCTTATTTACGTAACAAACCAAATGTGAATACCTATCTGTTTGAGTTAACATTTCTAGTTAGTATGTAAAATATCTGTATCAGGAGGTTACCGCTCATAAAAATATGTAAGTTGTATTTTCCATAAAATTCCAACAGATAAAAAAATTAGAATACATTATTGAGGGACCAAAAGCAATAGTTAAGTTTCCTAATAATTTTATCAAGTATCAAGGATTTTTATGAAAATTTGGATTTTTATTAGCTTCTACTCTATAGTTAATCTTGTGCTGAGTATTGTTTTTCCTTAGGGATTGAAAAATGTTTATTTGAATATACGCCAAAAAATAGATTGAGCGATTAAAAAACAACTTATTCCTATACAGATTTTCTGAAAGATAATACTTTTCAACTTATCAAAGAGGGAATATCTTGGTTTTTGGACTAATTAATCTCAATACAATAATCTCATCAAAAATATAACATTTACAAAAATTGACAAGCCATACAACGAAATGATTCTGCTGTAATTTTGTTATGAAATCAACGTAAACCAAAACGATTAATTCAGTACTTATCTTTCTGTAAGAGCAACTAACCAACCTTGTCATATACTTAGAAATACTTAACAAAGCTAATGCCCATTTTACTTTTTTTCTCGACTTGGCGGGCGCACTTCCGTGTCTCCAAATTAATCCACATTATCAGACGGTTTTGTGATAAATGGAAAAGTAAGCATTTTATTTGTGGCTATCACAATATCAGAGGTTCAATAAAATAAAACCTTTATTATATTTTGAAGTAGGTCTTATTTGACTGAGTTCGACTCTGTATTTTGAACTGATTTTACTTCAATTCGTTAATAAAAGATGTAAATCTTCTTAGTATTTTAAATTTAAATAGTTTTCATAACCATGGTATTCATTTATCAACAGTAATAATGTTGTTCTTTTATAAAAACAGCCTCGAACCCGCCGTAGAACGTAGTGAAATCCAGCGCCGACTGAAGGAATATTGGCGAACTAGTCAAAACACTGGGATGACGACCATAAAAATATAAATTATAATATATAGGTATACCGATTAAAGAGTGTAGTTTTGCCAATGAAAAAAGACACTCTTTAGGTACTGCTCGTCTGATTTTATACGTTTGAATACTGCGGACATGGACTCATGTTTAAATAATAAAAGTCAATTTGTTGAAGGTAGAACATTTTAAGGTTAAGGTAAATATAATTGGTTGCTGTGCCAAAATTGCCGCAAAAATAAGTGCACTCTAGGCCTTGTTTGCCTAAATAGACGGGTTGGCCTTGGCGACATCACATCATAGAGGTTCAATTTAATCACATATCCTGCTATTTTTAAACAGATAGCATAACTGTTTTAGAAAAGAAGTGGAAATTTCAATACATTTTGTTAATTAACATTATCAGTCTTATATTTCGTCAACTATAGGTGTCTTAGCAATGTTATCATAATATTTTAATCTATTCAAGATCCTTACAAGCTGATAGGTCCTCAGCGCCCTTCAAGTCTCGCCGTCTAGTAATTACTGCGCCCCGTGGGTGCGTGGTGTCTAGAGGGGGTGGAGTAGAGTGCGCAGGGCGGTGGGAGGTCACGGATCATATCACCTGTGAATTAATCGTTCAGTGACGATTAATTAGCGCCACGTGTTACCGTGTTAGCCTTAATACACGTGACTCGATTCGGAGTGTCTCGTCTGTTTACGATTGGATGTGCTATTCATATAATTATGTAACTAGCTGTTGGCTGCGGCGTCGCTCGCGTATTCAAAGGGAAGTGGATAAGCATCGTGGCCCGCAATTGTTGTTTTGATGCAACTATCACAAGGGTCGGTCTCGGGATGGGTGACAAAATATAAATTATTATCTCGAGCTACTCGTGATAAGGAAGGTACGTTAAGCCGTTGGTCCCAGTCGCATTTGCAGTCGTTAATACCCTCTAATCTTCATTAGGCTAGCCTGGAGGGTCATAGCCCACCATTCTTAACCATTCAAGGAAGGAGCCATTCATAAGGAGCCCCTGCAACAGGGACGTAAAAGAGCTGATGACGAAAGTTAGAAACTTTACCTCTATATTAGTATAGATTAAGCTATTAACAAAAAGTTTAATAAATGTAAAACCAATCATATATATCGAATCTCACAAACACTGATATAAACGGTTTCGTATTCCGCACCCGAGATTGTCCTATAAAACACAAGTCCGCAATAACAATGAGCGGTCCTGACCCACGAACTGCAAACTCAAATTAAACATCTTATGAACAGAAACATCTTGCCAAGATCCTCTTCATTAGGTCCCGCAAATTGCGAGGCGATGCGGCAGGAGCAAGGGACGGGGGGGGGGCAGTGACACGCCGCCCGCCTCTATTAATAATGCAAATGAGACCGCAGCTCGACCAAGAAGGAGTCGCGATTAATTCCGGTTTATTTGAGGTAATTGTCGCTGCGTATGCGGCTCGTTGTCGGTAACCACGCCGGTTACGGTCTCGTCCGAAATGCTGCGGTGAATATTTGATGCCTTTTTCTAGTTTTTGAATACCCTATGAAGACGTGGTATTACTCTTTAATATTTTTTAACTTCTGTCATCGACTTCGCTCGCCCAATACTGAAAGCATGAAAGAATGAAAGCCGCATTAAAATTTGTTTTGTAGTTCAAAAGAACTCAGCGTACAGACAGCCGGAAGTGAATTTGTTTTATATTATATATAGATAACATTTTAACATTATTTATACATTGATAATAGATACTTGTAATGATAATAAATACTGGTACTTATTTTTTAGTCATAACTTTGAATTCAAAAGCATGTGGCTCCTTTTTGTAATCGGATAATAAAGAGAACGCTCACGTAGCTACTACGGCGTAGCACACGCTACGATCGATACTCAAGCGACAACCCGTAGCTTAGCCATGGGTACTGCTTCCACCACTGCTCAATTTTCACAACCACTCGAGGTCTTCTAAGACGTATTGTTTTAACTATTCACTATCATCAATATAAGACCTTAATTTAAAAAAAAAATAACTATATTTTTACATAAAATTCAACATAGGAATTATTTTGTTAAAATCTTTATTCAGTTTTACTTCTAAATTTCACAGCAAAACTTGGCTATACTAACAAGGTAAGACTAGGATTTAAAAGTATTTTTAAATATGATCTGTAACCTACATTCCGGGTGTTAAATAAAGTAGACATGTTTACAAAAATGTTAAAGTGCAACTTTAACATTTACTTAAATAAACTAATTTTAAAGATTACCAACAATAATTTAAAATATATTTTAAATTGAAATGTTCTTCCAAGTGGATTAATGAACAAGGTATTTATAGCCCGCTGTAGGCATGACCGCGCTGCCTACTTTCCTAGAGTAGGTACAAGGGGAGGTCGCGAGGGGAGATAAAAATGGCGGCTGTACACGAATGGGGCGTCTTACTTTCATACTACAATATACCATGGAAGTTGGTACGACAACTATTTCTTTGCAGCTTTATAGTGCATTGTGTTAGTTCAATTTGTGGTAATACCTTATTTACTGCGATACAAACAAGTTAATTTATCAAGACCAAGTTCTCAAAGTGTAGATTTTTTAAATTGGAATATTGAGGAATCAATCATAATTTCCGCGTTTAAATTAACCTACCAACAGTTAATTACAGTGGGAACAACTCTTGAAAAATCGTAAAAACAGGCATTTTTTAACGTACTAATAGCTAAGGTATCTTATTTCATTGCTGTTAGCGTGAATATAAATAAGGCAGATGACCCAGTTTTTGCCATTTTAAGATTATGAGCTAGTTTTGAGCTCATAATCTTAAAATAGCTAAAATGCTTTTAACGCAATTAGTTTTGCTATAATGAAACATTTTATACATATTTGTCTATGCCTTAGTCAGAACGCTTTGAAGTTTTAAATGGTCAAAAGAGGGCAGTGGCCAAAACCAGGTCCTCTGCCCTATATGTGAAGGCTAGGAATTTTAGAAAGGTCGATTATTAGATAGGTGATTAACATTTTAAACTCTTGGTGTTTCAGTATGCACTTTAAAGCGTCTAAACCAAATAGCTTTTTACAAATAAATAATAGCAATCCAATTAGTTGTAATTAAAACTAAGAAACTTCATCATCTATACATATAAAAATCTCTAGTCATTAATAAACTCTGAAAATACTAACTAATTTAAATCATCCATTTCACATGTTTCTGTAATTAAATGTTACTCAAAAGGTAGGACTGTCTTTATAGCTTGCGAGATTAAATCAGCTGCTATACCTTTAATGCAAAGCTCATTATATTATAAAGTTACCTCTAAAATTCACCATTTTCTTCATTGACTCTTGTTATTTGTACTCTTTTACTCTTTTTTTATAGGAAAAATATTTAGAGTAACTTTGTAGCCAAGAGTTCAATCGAGATCTTTTACAATAATTGGAAAGTGACTAATTAATTAATTTAGGAACACAAACAGTGCATTGCACAATCTATATCTATTCTCATTCACAAAGTATTAGTTCAGTTCATACACAAATAATAGGTATCCAAAGTTTATACCATAACAATTTTTTGCTTATAAGCTAGATGCAAATATAAAATATAAACACAATTAAATATCTACCCATTTTTAATAACTATTTTGATTTTAATGTTGTTGCTCTTGAACACTGTTTACGCAAATTTGTGGCATTGCAACCTACATCCGATTGCTCACTTTTTTTACTGCATATTTATGTATCTTGATGCAATTCTGTCATGTGTAACAAATAAAATAAATAAATTACAAAGAAAAAAAGGCGAGTCCTACGAAATGATAAAATGTATTAAAACATGCATTGTTATGTGCAATTAGGAATCTCACATGTATATTTGGTATCAGTTTGAGGTTCAAATATTTTTCGCTTATTTACAAATTAAATTTTTCATATTTGCTTTAAATTGAACTGATTATACAGAAAATATCCAAGGAATTATTATTTTTCTTATTTATATAGTGGTAAAAGTCACATTTTCTGTTAAAAGGTGAGTTTTTACCCAGGTTAGAATAACATCTGGGTAAATGAAAAATTTAAGATTTATAATTGAGTACTTTAGAATCCACATATTCACAACTATTTTTATGGTCTCGTGGTGGCTAATAGTTTGGCGTTGGAATATCACTTAACTTATAATGATGACGATAAAAATATATAAATAGACAATGTTTCTTTTCAGCCGGCTTGCCTTACAAAGTGTATGGTAGCCATGAAGGTTCCCTCACGGAAAAGAGAAAACAGAGGCGTATCAGGACGACGTTTACATCAGCTCAGCTCAAAGAACTGGAGCGTGCCTTCCAGGAGACGCACTATCCAGATATTTACACCAGGGAAGAGATAGCAATGAAGATAGATCTCACAGAAGCGAGAGTACAAGTAAGCTTTATTTACATTTTATATATATATAATACAAGTTTCATGTATTAATGCATTACTTTCTTTATGAGATAGTTTACTTATTATTAGTCTGTCAGAAATATTTCTGAGGTATTTTCCAATTTAATTTGCTACGAAATAATGCTAATAAGATTAAAATAACAGCCTTAGCTTTATATACATATAAAATATACATTGACACTCCTTGTTCTGAAATAGAGAATTAAAATAATTACGAAAAATAAGATTTGATATTTTAATTTATATAAAATTTTTGAAAGAATAAAATATGTACAATTCTCTACAACCAAGATTCAGATATTTTTGCTTCAATAAAAGCAAGCGTAAAAAGAGGCTTGCCAGTTATTTAACAGGCAGCATTCGCGTGAAAAAAACTTGCTTTCCCGTGCCGTCCGTCACATTTCCAGAGTCCAATTAGCGTCCAGTAATTCGGGCTCGTCTGACGGGTCGACTACATAAAAAAAGCCAGCAGCCCCCGCGGTTAGATCTACTTAATTTCATAATAAGCGCTCATTTTTATGTGAGTCGGTGTGAGCGTCGTGCCCGTTGAATGTTTAATGCAATCCAGAATCGTGTGAGGTGGCAGGAGTAGATCTGATCACGTAGAGGCGACGCGCGACGCCACTGCGACTCCACGATTTGATCTCATATTCTGGGAGATTACGCCCTCGGCGCGACCGACGTTCTTATTGTTACGAATGAAACATGGTTATATAATGTTTCGATTATCTTCTATTTTCGCTAAAGGAGATTTCTGACTAGAAGTTTGAAAGAATTATTCTGACTAGAAGTTTGAGATACTTATTCTTAATGAAAAATTCTTAAAAAAATCTTTTTGTCCCTGGTACTCTGCGATGGGATTTTTCATTAAGAATATTCCAGTATAGCGTTGTGAATGCAAAATTGATCAAATATAATTATTAGATAATAGGTACACTTCTTAAACAATTTTGCATCCTAATTTTAAACTCAAAATAGTAATATTTAATATTGAATACAAGTTTCACTTTTGATGATCTTTAACATTCATAGTTATTAGCATTGTCGTCATATCTATATTATATAAATTATCCTATTAATATTATAAACGTGAAAGTTTCTTTGTTTGGATGTTTGGATGTTTAGCTGTTTGTCGGTCAATCACGCCGAAACTACTGAAGGGATTTTGATGAAATTTGGTATACACATAGGGTATTAGCTGACTTAGATAATAGGATACTTTTTATCCCACTAAACATTTCCCTAGGGTCCACGCGGGCGTAGCCGCTGGCGAAAGCTAGTAGTTAATAACTACTCTATTGGTCCCTCGGTAAACAAATATGTTATACATAACAAGGCTGTGTTGTCGTATACAGTGGGTGGAACCCTCGCAGTAGGTATGGCACGGCACTCATTACGTTAAAAAGTGTATCGGAACATCGCGACCGGTTGCCATAAATATTGCGCGCGGTCGCGTAACTCATGAGAGCGCGACTGCTCATAATTAAAACTCGTTGCGAAATACCAATTCGCGATACAATTAAAAACGGGGTGTTCCGTGAATGGATTTTGTTTAATATTTATTTACAATGGTAAATTTATGTGACTGAAAAATCCACAAGCGGCATTTTGTATAAAAAAAATAATCAGTTGTTAACCAAAACCACTTTCAAGGTTTGTACTTTTCGGTATTTATTTACATTTTTTTAATTTTAGTGTAGGTATTCTTAATAATCCCTAATTTATATTATTTCAATTAAATAAAACCTTCATTTGACTATATAAATAAAACACGCGGTCGCACATGCCTACAGTTCGCGTCTTTTCATAATTGAAATTCGTTGCGAAATACGAATTCGCGTTACAATAAAATTAATTACAGAGCGTTTCGTGGATTGCTATCGGTTTAATATTTATAATTGCTCATAAATAATGTAAACGTTAATGAAATAGATACTCTAACTTTTAAATAATGTTTATTTTTAGTCGGATTTAAGTATACTCGTTCAATATCTCAAATAGTCGACATTTATAAAGAATAAATTGGCATTTTGATTAAACCTAAAATACATACTAAACTTATTTTTTGAGTACATTTATTAACAGTGTGTTGTTTTGAATTATTATAATATAATTACAAAACACAATTTCATTTAAATAAAATGACTTTTGAATGAATTTAAACGATCGTAAGAGATTTTTTGACGTTGTCGACGAATGGTTCCGCCTTTGCATTGCAAGCTCTATGGTTGCTATAATGATATTAAATAATGTGTAATGAGCTAAACAATCATATAACATTACATATGGGACACATTAATACAATACTTCTTTCATTTATATATTAATAAAATTATTTATTCGTTATAAAAATCTGATATTACCATGTTTTTATTCATATCTATATTTTACATCAACAGATACTGTACTTAATACCAAAAATGGCAATATATATAATATATAAATATAGATGGGAATGCGGTAAGGTATACGTAATTGAGTGTAAGTACGCACCGTTACGAGGGCGGCAGGGACTGGCCACACGCCTTTCAATTATTAATATTCATTCCCCAAATTTCGCTTTGCATTCTGTTGTAGAATTTTTGTACGATTTGAGGAGTAACTGAAAGCAGTAGCCTTTATTTTGAAGTGTAAGTTCACAGTAAATGTATAATTGGTTTCAAATGTAGGACATAAAAATTGATATCGATAGAATATAAATATACGAATCAAATTGATCTAGTGAAATTCGCAAAAGAGATCTCCCCGTATGCATGGGCTTAATCAACAAAAATTTAAATTAAACAGAAAAGAATAAACATAAAAGGTACCGTGTCCTAATACAACACGCGGATTTTGTTCAAATTTATCACAGGCGGTTCGCAAACATGGCTCGGTACCAGAGAGCGCTGAGCAAACTCACAATTTTCAGTGAAACAGACCGTCTCTGTCTAAAAAGTAACCATCTGCTGGTAGAGCAAAAGGAATCGCTTGAAAAATGATCAGCTGCTTTTTAATATACAGCGTATTTTTTATGTGCCCACGTTGTCATAGGGATAGGGCAATTTAATCCATCAAGCGGTAGCAACCGTACCATTCGAGCCGATAAATTCTGTATCACAGAACGTTTTGGTTTTATTGTTATCCCCGTGCGGCGGGCAGATTAGTTCGAGAAAATTGTGGAAAACACATGTTATAACTAATAGCTGTAATATTTATAGTATTAAGCTAAAGGGAAAATATTGATGTTTACTTAATTTCATGTACCATTTTCGAAAAATCTCGCTTTCATATTTTTATACGTGCTTTTAATATTAATGAAAGCCTTGTCACCTGTAAATTCCACGGATCTCCCGGTTCAGTCTCGTAGGAAATCCCTTTTCTTGTTGTAGCATGACACTCAATATAAATACCTAACTTTAGTTCGTTGCTGCAGTGTAATTTTTAAACGACTTCAAAAAAAGGAGGTTATAAATTCGAGGTGTTTGAATGTAATTTCGTTAAAATGGCGTATTAATCATATATTTTGGTCTGTATGGGCTTAAACACGTACGTAAAATTTTATAGATGTATGTTTGTCCACGGATATTTCGCTAGTTGAAGTTGTATTGCAGAAATTCTTTTTTTGTTTAATTGCTTAGCTTTCAACTTAAGACACATTATAACATTCATCAAAATCGGCTCAATACTTTTAAGATACAAACTATTAAACTACTTAAAAAGTGTAAAAATTAACTGACTTATAAAAGGAGTTAAAACTGATGACTTTTTAACCAACTTCAAGAAAGGAGGCGCTCAGTTTCAGTGTATGTCAATAACTCACTAACTTGTTTGATTAGCTATTTTTCGACTTAGGGAACAACAGTTTAAAAATAGTCTACATAAGTGAAAACTTACTAAATTAATTAAGAAACGAAATGTTACCAGAATAGAAGTTTAGGTTAGAACTGCTACCATCACAGAAACGTTTATCCCGTAAATATAAGTATGTTTAAATATAGATGAAGGTGTTCATTTATTATAAGTTAGTACTAAGTTATATGGATCGTTGATAACTACTATTATAAAAAAAAATAGTGAATCTAAAATTACACAAATTTTCATCTTTATCGAAAGCTTAAATATTTGTAAAATTATTTCTTTCAGGTGTTTGGGTGGATTGCCTGAACATTGATGTTAATACACTCTGTAGTAGGAAAAAAGTAATAAGTGTTTGAAAAAGTCGATAGTCCTGTTAGTTACTGGGTAGCTCAGTGGTTAGGGCAGTCGCCCAGATTGTGAAAGGTCATGGGTTCACGTCCTATCTCAGAATGCTCTTGGCAAAGTGGTTTTTTAAATATTTGTCATTATAGAATTGTGAATCCAATATTGATCAAATATAATAAACTAAACTGATTTCAAAAAAACGTCAAAATAGAACCCATTGAAAAGAGAGAAATGATATCACAAATTTTATCTTCAATAAAATCGTTTCTATTTATTTTGAATTTGGATTTCATATAATGCAAATTAGTTCAACTGCAATCTTAAAGAAATTAAAAAAATATAGTTTTCACATACCGTTATTTATTTTTACCAGCAACGGAACATCATATATTCAATTATTATTTTTGAACGAAAATGACTTAAAATACGTTTAAACATTTTTTTTTATTGCAAGACATCTAAATTATTTATGAGTCTTTAGATTTTCTTACTTTTATCTGTCAAATAAACCTAGTGCAGTTCCATCCCATTTTCGCCCTTTTCTAATGTGCTCTAAATGAAAATTTGCACGATAACTTAGTAATAAATATATTAAGTAGGTTACGTTACGAGCGTACGGTACAGTTAAAGGTATTTCCTCTCATTGCGATTGCAACGTTTGCGGTGGTCATCTGACAGCTGACGTCACGGGCGGCAATAAAGACTGACGCGCTGCCCAGCGGGTGCCGCAAAATGTCAATCCAGCTCTCGGTCTTACATCTTCCGATGATCCACCGGGAATATAGTGGCCGGACCACTTTGCCCAATCCTCTTTACATTGCAAGACAAGGGGAATGTCTAGTATTGGAGTTATATTAAATGCACTACTATAGCACTTAACAACATTGTAGAGAATAAATATTTTTTTGTTTATTAAAACAATATTTAGGTATATACCTTTTATTAATATTATGTTAAATAACATACGGCAATGTTAATGTTACAATTTTAACCGACTTCACAAAAAGGAGGATATGAATTCGAGGTGTATGTATGTGATTTCGTTGGAATTGCGTAATATTCATTTATATGTGCGTATTTTCCTTAATGTATGAAATCAACGAAAAAATGAAGAATTTACAATCCTGCAATCACTACATCGATAAGCTTTCAAAACAAATAGACGATCTGGTTACTAATAGAATAACATTTGTAAAGGCGTTGTAGGGTGTGATTAATATCAGCACTCGAGTCCCCTTCGTAGGCGCGTGCGCAGGTGTGCCACGCGCCAGTCACGTGGCACACGCGCGTTCTCCTCTCTCACTCCTGATTAGACGCTACAAATGATCTATCCCACAAATGAGCAATGAAAACAGTAATTGTTATTCTGAATTGCACCAACGACTGTTAACTAAACCGTAAACTTTTATTGCTGTATTTATTACTCTGACATTTAAATTAGAATCTTTTATTGCTCTATTCAATTAATTTTGCCGTTCATCAAAATCATCAGCACCAGGTACCCTGAGATGGGTTTCGGGTAGTTCAATGGTTAGAGCAGTCGCTCGGATTGCGTTATGGGCTCGAGTCCCATCTCTGGCTGATGAATATTTTTCATTAAATGAATCTTTAATGTTTGTAATAATGTAAAATTATTATATTATTTCTTTTGGTGGAGGGAACAAGCGCACAATAAAGTATTTGTAATATAAAAGCTATTGTTTTGAATCAGTTAATAAATTGTTGATCTTATCATTCAGACTATACATTGTGGAATTTGTACCTACCGCGTTTCATACAGAATTTCCTCACAAACAGAGGTGCGGCAGTGTGTACTACGAATACCAATGCGAAAGTAACACAATGTAAATATAGATCGTGATGACAAAATAATAATTGTGTTTATTTTTAATTTAATACAGTGAGCGGAGAGAATATTCCGATACACAGACAAGAATAGATGACATTACAAATACGTCGGTATTGCAATGTTATTTGTATTTGTATACATTTTAATTTTTTATTATAGTTTTAAGTTGAATTAAGGTAGAAGGTTGTATCTGGAGATTATTTAAAAAGGAAACGTGGCTTTTAACAGTATTGCTTACAATAAATCTATCATGAAATAAAATTGCCAGACTTCTAGATATGAATATTATTGGCAATACATTTGAGGTGTACCTAGTTATTTATCTATATATGAAAATAAATAATATAAACAAACGGGTTAAGTTCAACTTATATTTGGAACCAATAGTATGAAAAATCAAAAGTGAATCGTACTATCCTCAACGCCTTAACGTTTTATATATCGAGGCAGTTTAGTTGGACCCACAATAGTGTCTAATTGAAACAATAACGTCGAAGTAATGGAACGGTTGGCAGTCCCCGGTTAATCGCGTTGATTGCAAGCGTTCGCGGCGGATTAAGTAATCACTTAGCGCGGTCGCTTCGGCCCAGCGAATGATCATTCTTTGGGAACATTGGACTTTATTTTTGGGTACGACGTTACCGTTTAGGATACGATTACGTTAAATACCATTTGGAGATCGCTGTAGTCTCGCTAAACAATCTAGGTAGAAAAGCTATAGGGTGCTTCGGTTAGCTTTGGTTAGTTGGAATAAGCTATAATGCCATTAAGATATAAAAGATAACACGCACAAAAGTCGTACTATACGAACTAACAGAGTGGAATTATATCATAGTATCTAATATTTATAACATTGCTCTCGTTTCGTCACATGAAGTGCGAATTTGGGCACCGATATAGGATTGGACACGGCACTAATAGAGAGATATCACGGACAACCGTATCACGTTGCGCGTGGGAAGAGGCGCGCGATTGCGCCCGCGCACCGTGACGCATATCTCCCACGGGATGTATGCGCTCGACAGTTGAAGCGATTTCTCTAATCGATTACATACCGATTATGTTTTCACACGGTACGAGGAATATGACAGTGGATAGACATTGTCTTTATTTACCCATGTTTTGAAAGTAAATTATAAATTTGTATTAATATATCAGATAGTATTTTAGGTTTAACTGCAGACTTAATAAAATTTACTAGTATTTATCTAAGAGTATCCATTACTAGTCATTATTGGTAGAGAGTCCAATTTATCTAATGCCTAGATACCTGTATCTGTAATTTTATATTTATGAGCAGGTTCAACAGCGATGTTAATAGTTTAATTAGAAGCTCTGAAAGAATTTCATTTAATTATATTTTCTTCTTATAAAAATACCAAGTTAATGAAATTTATTGTAATTTGTTTATTATAGTAATTGTTATTAATTAAAATATTATTAATATTATCTCAATATGCTCCTTAAAAATGTTTACATATAAAAGCTAATCACTCATTTTAGATAACATGACATTTGTCGAAATTGAACCACTCACCGGAACTTTAATAAAGCATTATTTTCGTATGATACGCCATTATTCTTCTTTAGTTATTCGCGATAAAGAAGTGCAAATCGGTGCAAGCACTTAAAGTGATTAAAAAGTCGCGCGAGGCTACGTAGAGGGACTGCGCTACGGCGGCATATGGAAAACTTGACGCTAGGAGAACGCGAATTTAAACACTACGTGTACTAAGATTAGAGGTTATTTTGGCTTACGTTTTTGTGCTACGTACACAAACACACAAACATTTGCTATGAGTGGCACCGATGACTTTTCACTTTGCTTCTACATATTTTGAAATGAAAGGAATCAATGTCTGTCTATATAAAGTATGCCTCGATATGAACTCATATTTTGTTTCATTATAAAAAACATACCGGTGGTAAAATTTTCATAGTAGGTAGCCGAAAATCTGAAATTGCAAGAATAATTTAAATAACCAAGTTTTATGTGGTTAACTTTATTTTTTATGCAAAGTAGATCGCAAAAGAGTCTTGGTTTGTATTTGTTTGCCATGATTTTATTATTTACTTTAAAGAATTGACATAGTATCAAGAAAAGCATAAACTAGTATTTTATTTTACCATTAATATATTCTACCAAGTCTACGTTTAACCCGCTGCTGCCTTGTGATTGCTTAAAAAGCATTCTTTTCGGTTTCCGACGGTGTCTAAACACATAACATTTTGATAATTTCTAAGTACGTAAGTTAAATATCAAATTTGTAAATATACAACTTTCAGTGTATTTTTTATTTTTAGTAATAAAACTAGTTATTCTTAAAATAAATAATAACCAGTATCAATTTACAATTTTGATTAGGTGTAAAGAAAATCTGTGGAATTTCGTGGGAAATCTCATTATCATTTTCTTTTAAACATGTGAGAACGATGGAATCATAATTTCTCACATTATGAGGTCCCAAAGGTGGTAAAATCGCTACCCGTCATATACTCGTAAATTCACAGGGTATTATTATAAAAGTATGTATGGCTGCTGTCCTTATCCTCTTCCGAGAATCGGTATTTGTCTGTCTCTTTCTCTCAGGGTGCCACGCCACAAAGCAACTCTCGCGCAATTATTTTTCATTTAGCATGGCACTTGTCGTTTGGTCCTTTGGGAGAGGGATCAAGTGGCAGCGTGGTCCCGTCGAGATGAAACTGCAATTTGAATGTGAGAAAATTGTTTTGAGCTGTTTTCTGCGGGGTTGTTTAATTGTCTTGGGAATTAATATTTGGATATTCGCACGGTTCAAATGTCAAATGAGTTTATTACGAGTACTATCTATGGGGTTGGATTGACATAAAAATATTTTAGTATTGATTATTTCAATACTTCATTCCGTTATTCATTGACAGCTTAACTTGTGGGCTGTTTTAATCTATACCTTAGATTATTTAATACTAATGTTATAAAAATGAAACATATTATCGTTTGTTTGTTTGCTACAAAAAGGATACGAAACTGAGCCGACTTTAAAAAATTTTTCACCTATGGATAACTACATCATACGCGGTTGACGTAGGCTATAATTTACACATGCGAAGTCACGGGAAAACTACTAGTCTAAGATAAAATTTAAAAAATGGGTAAGAAAAATAATATATTTATGAAAATCACAAGATAGACAGGATAGACAGCAAAAGAGAAATAATAATAAAATGTGACAAAGACAAATTCAAATTAAAAAACCTTTATAAAAAAAGACTAGCAAAGCTGTCGTCAAAACATACAGTTAACAATAATTCTGTTGATTTTATTGCAAAATAATAATTCATGTGAAACTATTGTTACTTTATTAACCCTAGATATAGGCAAAAGAAACAAGTTTAAGAAAACTTAAGACCCACATGGCTATATTTATTGATATGGAATAACAAAAAGTTCTGCCATAATTCGGATATGACAAGTTCATCTTTGGTTTGTATAAGTCGATGGGGGAGCATAGGCGAGCCGTCACAGACAATCATAGGCGGGCGATATATGGATATCATAACCGGCCCTCTCACTTGTAGCACGCTGCGGTCGGGTAAATGGCGTGATGTGATTTGTTGCGACGCTACTGTTAACTCTTACAACTAATATCTATTTCTTTATATTCAAATCATACGCTATATTACTACTGTTCATTGTATATTCAGATTCACACGGAAACCTGTGAGGTTACTCTGCGTAGGCGAGTTCGCTCCATTATTTGACAGTTTTTACTTAATTTTAAGTAATTAAGAATTACATAAGAATGAGTTGTGCAAGAATAGTTTCTTACATTGTCGCTTATAGTTGACAGATCAATACAACATTTGTTATATAGAAAC